AATAAGACACACACCTTGTGTCGTCGATGTGGGTCCAAGGCATACCATCTGCAGAAATCTACCTGTGGGAAATGTGGTTACCCTGCTAAGCGTAAGAGAAAGTGTAAGTAACAGGCTTGAGTTTAGAAACTTGTGTTTCTTTGTCATCTTCAATAGTCTGGCTTTTTTCCAATCAAGGAAGAATACTGTGTCATCTTGCAGTGAATTTTTTCTTTTGCTTCTGTCAGATTGAATAGTTGTGCTATTCAAACATACTGTGCAACTAATTATTTTGTGCAGATGAGTAACAGTAACTTCTGTGTTCTAGATAACTGGAGTGCAAAGGCTAAAAGACGCAACACCACTGGTACTGGTCGCATGAGGCACCTGAAAAGGGTCTACCGTCGATTCAGGTATGACGTTTTATTACAAACTAGTGTAATGTGAAATCTTGCATGGATTTCACTCAATTATAAAATTTGTCATTCAAAGTTAACACTCTTATTTAGTAAACTTAATGTGGTATGGTTAAATATGTTGTGGAAATAAATGATACCTTATATCTTCAAAGGAATATGCTGCCAATTATAAAAAGCTCACTCATTGTTAATACATAGGATGTATAGCAAGCTCTGATGTTTCTGTTAAGTGTAGATAGTACAGAACACAGGGTACTGTAATAAAATGCCCACATTTGAAAAGGTATGCTTTGTGTAGCGTTGCCTCTATTTGTGAGTCAGTGAAACTGCTGGTTGCACTGAAGTGTGTTTTTTTGTAAAAGAGAATTCTTGAAATGTGTTCCAATCCCCTCTTGCCCACAAAAAAAGTTCAGGATTGAAATACTTCAGTAGTCACTCTCTAATTTGGAGTTCAGTTAGCAGTAACTAACTGTAACATCAGGTTCTGAGTTACAGGTTTCTAAAATGTGTTATAAAGCTTTGAGTTGCACTTATGAGGTACTGTACTGTGAAACTCATTAAGAATTTCTTTTGTATGACATCCATGTTCTACAACGGAGCTCTGTAACTTCTGTCCTAATACACCAGAAAGCTGGATGAAAAATACCAAGCAATTCAAGAGTCTTTTCCTAAAACTGTAGATTGGATTTAATAGTGAAAAGTAGGAATCTTTTAAGTCCTGGACCTAGGTGTAGTTGAGGGATCCATTCATCTGGGATTTTTGGTGAGCACAGTCTTTCCCAGCAGCAGCCAGAAAATACCTTACAGTGTGCAACTGCAGCCTGATTTCCACCAAGTGTTGCTGAAGTAGAAATGTCATATCCAAAAGCAAGCTTGGGGCTGACTCTTCTTTTGTCATGCCTGTCTTAATCTCTGGTTGGAGACATGGAGGATTTCTGTAAGAAATTGACTTGCACTTCAGTACTAACAAATGTGAAATCTTTTGCTGAGTTGCTTAGTAGGAACATAAAGTAAGGAGTGCCTTCAGTGGGTGTGCTGTATCTGATTCAGTCTTGCAGTGTTTATTCAGTTACTGAAATCTTCTTGTTTGAAGAAGTCAAATTTACTTCAGCAGAAGAGAGAGAAAACCATACTGCTTATTCCAAACAGCTTGTCAATGATGTTTCTTATTAAAAATGTCTAAACGTATGAAGTCCATAGTGATTTCAGTGCATTACTGAGAGAAGCTGAAAAAAGCTGGTGAACTTGATCTAAAACATTACTTGTTAGAAAATAACCTGGAGCAGAAACCACCCTTTCAAAAAGTGGTAACCATATTTCTACTTGTAGGAATGGATTCCGTGAGGGAACCATGCCGAAGCCGAAGAGAGCAGCTGTTGCAGCCTCCAGTTCATCGTAAAGACTCATCTATTTGTTAAAATAAATGGTCTTATCCAGAAAAGTCACCTTTTATACATGTTTTACTTCAGTGAAATATGGGATTCCTGAAAATACATATATTTACGCACACAAATTCTTGATGGTATGCACTGAAGCAATTCATTTAAAATAATCCTTTAACTGACTTTTCATTTGATAGCACCTCCACCTTTAAAAGGACCGTTATCTCTGTGCTGAACTTAGAGAGGCTTCTATGTGTTACTCAAAAGAACATTCTCTGCAAGAGAAATGGAATATTGGCACTATGGACCGAGTTTCATTGTGCCCTAGCACAGAGAGTCAGATTTTATCTCAAAAATAGTAACTTGAATAATGGCTCTAAGTGCTGTTCTGGGAGGGAATAGAGGGATTCCCAGTCTTAGCCATTGCTCACTGTTCTGTGGCTCTGAAAGGTCTGCAAAAGCATTGCCTATTCAGTGGATCATTGCTTCTGGGGTAAAAAGAAACGCCCAAACCTGGAGCACACATACTGCCAGACAGGAAGGGACTAGAGATCTGCTGTAATTGAGACAGAAGTTACCCAAATAGTCAGGGAAGGTCAGTGTAGAAACTTGACACACAAATAGATCAGAGTTAATTACGTGGGTATAAACAATAAGGGTAGGTTGTATGATACAGAAGTCAATGACTTGGGAGTACATTTGAATTATAGAATCATTTAGGTTGGAAAAGACCT